TCAGTGCCGCGGTACTGACAATGCCAAGTCCCAGCACTGACCTATAAGGGTGATGACAAGTCTGCCACGACCACTTCTGACAAATGCAACACTGCACTCCCTGCATTACGGCACCAGTTTTTGACATCGTGCATTATTGTCATTAAGCATAATCAGTTTCACTGCCTGCCGCAGCCAAAATACACTGGCTAGTCTGTTCATGGCTATGTTGCCACCCCAGGGAGCTAGCGTCACACAGTTCATTTGCCTCAGATGAGGATGCTCTGTGGGATAAATTCATTGCTACCAAAGCCTCTAACCACGTACATGAGCGGTTGTTGCTCGAGGGTTAAAACCTTTCACTCGAGAGCTCAGTGCAAACTCGAATTTCAGTTTGAGCAAGCAAAAGAAGTTTTTTGCTTCAGCTGAGCTGGTTTCACTGTGGTGTCGTCGCAAACAATCCTAGCATTTTTTTTTGAAAAGCAGATTCACAGTCAGCAGCCAACTTTCAACAGAAGTTATCGTGTCTTCAAGTGATTTATATGTGCAGCAGCAGAACCATTCCCCCCTCCCCCCCCCCCCGCATAACCGAGAACACAGGAGGTGCTCCGTTTTGCCACACTGTTTCCAATGAAGCTTGTGGGACCCCTGGGCATCAGTGTCACACGCCCACTTTCACAATGTAACTTGACAAGTGCATGGCAGGTTCTGTGTAGTAGAACTTGGTGAAGGTGCTTCCTAATTTGGCAGTCCTGACTATGCAACATCCTGCATGAAGTGGAATTTACGTACAAACGCAAGTCACAAATTTTATGGTGACATTTCTTGCTGAATCAGGGCTGTCTGCGTCAATTGCGTTGGGGCAAGAGTTCAGTCTATGTTTTCAGGGTATTTCGCTCCTACTTGCTCTGCATATCACCCCGCATGTACACATGTTAGTTTGTTTTTACATTTTTGACCAAGGAACTGTCTGATGGGTGTTGATGACATTGACTGAAGGTTCTGCACTCAACTACTTACACACGTCTATTGCTATGCCACTGAGTTTCAATAGCTCGGTACATTGTTCTATTTCCACACAGCCAAGCGTGTAGGCGGGTCCACCAGCTTGGCCAATATAGTGTACATCACTTTTCAGTCTCAAGTTGGGCCTTGCTAAGGTGAAAGAAATAGTCTCATTGATTGAGCCAGGCTGTGTGACAAAGAAGTTCTGGCAAGCTGTCCAACAATGTTTGCTTGGAAACTGTCAAGTCATTCGTGCCGAGTTCCTGGCTGCCATGCAAGTCCAGGAACTCGGCGAAGCCATTCTACCCAGATCAGAAAAGACTTTCCGTTATTCATGGCCTTCTACTGAGTACAGAGTGCCTTATTGTTCCTTCTTCCCTCCCGGTTCAGCCCATCGGCATCAATCATGAGACACATTTGGGTATCACGGGCACTAAGACGCGGCTTTGTGAGCAGCTATGGTGGCCATGCATGGACAAGCAAGTAAAAATGGAAGTGAAAGACTGCTGCTTCTGCCTGCCTTGGTGTTCACCAGACATCGCCAGCTCCATTCAACCTGTTGAATGGCCTGAACAACCATGGCAGAAGCTGGGCCTAGATAGTGTTGGTTCCTTGAAGCATGCAGCTCACAATAACAGATTTGCTGCAACACTTGTTGATTGCCATTCCAAATGGCCGATACGTATATTTCTGCACTGATATATCAACAATCACAGAGAAAGAGTTTTTAAAAAGTGTTTATGCTCCCCGTAGGCTACCCAGACATCTCTTGCAACACAGGGCTCCAGTGCACTTCGCGTAAATTTATAACCTCCCTGCAAAATAGAGTCATCTGTTTTTCGCGTTCTATAGTATACTGTAGAACCTCAATCATAAGATTACTGTTGATGTGAATTTTGCAATGATACAAATTTTGAGGTTCTTTGGATGGACTACATTACATAAAATGTGCCGTCATTCGGGGTTATATCAACAGTTTTCCCAGCCGCCGCGGATGATACGAACGTATGATTGGCTGCTGCACGCGAACGGCACAATGCGGCTTGTCTGAGGAAGGAAGGTCCATTCACACCGTGCCTCGAAGGGAGTGAACGTGGCAAAACTCATGGGAACTTCCCTCGCTTTTTCCAATAAGTTTCGCCACTTTCCCTCCCTTTGATGCCAAGCGGGAATGCGCTTTAGGCACCAGCAGCATGAGTGATGAAACCGCAGTCCCTTCATTGAGACGAAGAGTGAAGGCAGGAAAGTTTAAAAACGAACATCATGAACTTTTTTTCAGCAACTAGTGGTTGACTCGAATAAAGTTCTTGTTAATCTTCATGATCAGCTTTATCTTGTTTTTAGTTCATACAAATTCGGGCCGATATGAATATATGTTTCGTTAATATTTGCCTACGCAAATGTTAACGAAAACTAACAGACAATAATGCCAGAGAAAGTATGCGGGATGTTACTGGAAGTAATTGTAATGTAAATGAGAAGAAAGGAAAGTGGACGGAAAGATAACTTGCCAACGGCCTTGTGGTGGCAAGTTATCGCACAATATCAATGTTAGTTCAAATATTGTGTCTAACAAAGAAAACACCCAAATGGTGACCATGCATTTTTCAAAGCAAGCGGCCAACAACACAACAAGCAAAAAATAAAGTACTGTTTGCTGAAGACCCAACCGCAGTCGTTTTCAGGTGATCATAAACAGCATTTATGCATTGCTGAATGCCCATGTGCATTCAGCCAAGACTGAACTGCTTGCCAGAGCTGCTGTGGTTAAAACCTAGTTTGCTAACAATGCAATCATGAATGGCGACCATGCAATTTAGAAGTCACACAAGAAACGTAGTGTCACACGTGGGTATGAAGGTATACAGCATCCTGTCGTTACAGTATGGGTTAAGGCTTCCCAGTATAACAATGTGAACTGCATTTTTATTGAACAGTAATGCCATTTTTGCTTTTAGAGTCACACATATACAGCACTTTGTGCTCGATGTGAGCAGATAATCACCCAACATACACATGGTGCTGCCAGGTTCACCTGTATTAATTAGAGTTTGAATGCTTTCCAGGACGAAAGGATGACTTGGGCTTATCTTATTTTACTAACTCACAAAAGCAATAAGGTATTGCTGAATGAAAAATTAAATCACAGAGCGCTTGAAAACTGTCGCCTCCTACGTAGCCTACTAGATACATTGAAACTTTGTTAAACTGTACCCACTTACAAAGTACTTTCGTTTTAAAAGTAGTAAAATAAAATCCCCAACTGAGCGGCCATTGAACATAATGAATTTTCTTTTTCCAATTTTCGTTACGCACTTGCTACGCCATGTCATCCCCCAGTGGGCATCCTGGCAGAGCAGCAAGCCCTAGAGAACAAACACGCCTCGCTTGTTTGCATTGGTGATGATGGCCGCTGTGTTGAGCGCCTTCTCTTGGATTTTTTTCAGTACAAGAAGTACATGGCCTCCGACATTGGGAGCTCAGCGCTCAGCCGGCTAGGCTTCTTATGTTGTCCACGTGGCGCACTTTGCGCAAACACGGTGTGCGCTTTGCTTTCCTTTCTTCTTTGTTCTTTTGGCGCGGTACGTAAGTGTTCTCTAGCTGTGCAGTGATGTACGTGAGAGCTGTGGAGGCTGCGGGAACAACGTTTTAAAGTGTCATCCCCGTGTGCTTGTGCTGCTTCGTACTTGTGTCATGCCGAAGCTGGACAAACGCCCCAAGTGCTGAAAAATTGAGGAGAAATTCGACATAATTCCTGCTATTGAATGTGGCACAAAAAACGGTACTGCCCCGCAAAAAAGAGCTGCCATTAGGCATAGTGTGTGGAACTTAGAATTCCAAAGACAAGTTGCTCGGCAGTGCTACTGCAACTGCGAAAAGGTGTTGGCTACGCAGTCCGCCGTTTTCTGATGTAGAGGAGGTGCTGGTCAAGTGGCTAAAAGCTGCACGGTCAAAAAAATCAGCCTATCAGAGGACCCCTACTCAGGGAGAAGGCTCTGGTTTTTGCTCAACCATGACAACTTCGTGTGCAGCAATGGCTGGCTAGCAATAATTAAGGTGAGACAAGGCTCGAATACTAGTGGTAACAGGTTGAAGGAACGACAGTGAAAAATTGTTTCAATTTCAAGTGTGCTGGCTTCAGTGTGTGTGCAGGTGACGCAGATGACATTTGAGACAACATCGACTAGACTTCAGACATCGTAGACCAAGCTTGCGAAACACGGCTTGCAGAAGTGCTGGAGCGACAGGGCATTACGGAAGGCATTTTCTTCCTTGACTAAAGAGACGTAGACAGTGATGTTCAGACATTCGACATTTGCCTTTGTTGTAGCAGAGTTACCAAACCACAGTGATGAGAACGACACTGAATTTGACAGCACGGGCAACTCAGGTCCGACAGAGGCAGAAGCTGCGCATTGTGTCAGTGTCATGCAAGTATTTTACAAGAGGGGGCTGGCAGAATAGCTGGCTCACAGTATAAGCAAGTTTGATTGATTTGTGGGGTTTAACGTCCCAAAACCACCATATGATTATGAGAGACGCCGTAGTGGAGGGCTCCGGAAATTTCGACCACCTGGGGTTCTTTAACGAGCACCCAAATTTGAGTACACGGGCCTACACCATTTCCACCTCCATCGGAAATGCAGCCGCCACAGCCGGGATTTGGTCCCGCGACCTACGGGTCAGCAGCCGAGTACCTTAGCCACTAGACCACTGTGGTGGGGCCAGTATAAGCAAGTTTCAGGCTGATATTGTTGCTGCTAGGCCAACGCACTGTCCAATGAAAATAACAGACTTTGAAACACGAAACTAATAAATTACTGCAGGTTTTTTTCTGTTTCATCGCACTCCCTGAAGGTTTCTTTTTTTTGGCAGGTAAGTGGGTGACTTGACAATATTTCAGTTAAGCAGTACTACAGTTTAGTACAAACTTCTTCGAGCTCCACCGAACTACAGTTTAATAAAGTTTCACTGTAACATTGATTCCTCAAATCTTTGATTGAGAGGGGTCTCACCTGACATCCAGGCACGCAAGACAAGGCACCTGAAGGTAGTTGTAGCGTATCAGCTGCAGCACAATAGGCCCCTGGTCATCATGCGAACCTATTTTGCCTGTGCACTTGAAAAAGAAGTGCGCGGCCCGCACTTGGTGACAGATCTGGCACTGTCCCAACAGGCGGCCCGGTTCAAGTACATCTTTCCAGCAGGATGGGTCCTGCACAGAATGCTACTTTAGTTGGGTACACCAACTTTCTTATCTCATGAGGACAGTCTTGACAGGTAAATTGATTGGCTCAGGAGCATGATATCCAAAGCATGCGGACCAATCAGTGGAACAGTTTTTCAACAGTGTCTTTTTCATTATTCAGCTACGCTACTCTTGTGCGCCACTCTGTCCATACATGCATGGCCAATAGATACGTGTTACTGTAACACACGAGCCTTAAATAAATTTACATGCCTCATTTACACGATTGTAAGTAGACTTGAGCATAGAGTGACCCTTTATAATGAACATCAGGAAAAGGAAAAGCAGATATGTGAGCATATTCCCTAACAAAGAAGATTGCCATGATGAAACCAAGTTTCTGGAGCAGCGGCTCAATTTTCGTTGCTTTTGGAAAGGACAACACATTCAAGACTCTTAAACTCTATTGGCTGCGCGATCGGATTCAGCTTGCTATTTCTTACGTTTGAAGCAATATTTATAATTCCACTGCTCAATGAACCTGATCCTCTTCCTTCTTCCTCCATGCACTGTTCTGGCAAAACCGCTACCAGACAGCTGCTTTTGCGAACAGACGCCATTGGATCTACAATTTCACAAGACAACATGCAGACACTGCTCAGCGACATTGACACTCCTCTGCACAGTGCATGCGAGCTGTATAACACAAAGTATGCGTTGAATGTGCTTATACACATTGTGCATCAGCACATGAACTCATTAGTGAGCTTCATTGATTTATCAAGTCCCAGACTACTCGCCGGCGGCCCGCGGACGCCTTGGCTCATAGGCAACTATGTCACACGCACGTGATTCCGAGTCCCGAGCGGTCCTGAACCAGTTCGAGAGGCCTCAGGCCATCTGTGCGCTTGATACTCTTTGCATCCGCTGTGGCGTCTGCAATGCCGTCTGCTCCCTTCATGGCTGTGACACAGGCCACAACACCGACTCAATTCCAACCTCAACAGTAGTTAGGTAGTGAATTATATACCTATTTCCATTGTGATGCAACTTACTGTAAGTGAACTACTCGAGCGTGCACGCATCGTTGACCCACGCAGTCGTTCCACCGCTGTTTCACCCAGCGAGAACAGTAGAATCTCGATGATACGACCACGGCTGATACGAAATTCGAGGTGATACGAATTTTTCTGTAGTGCCAGCCGAGGCCCAATAATTTACAATGTGGTAGAGAACAGTTGGTACAAACTGATTTTTTACCCTAGTCATTTGATACAAATAAATGCCGCCCCAGCGACAGCTGCGAAAGCAAGCAGTGTGTGCTGCGCCGCCAGTTTTGCAAGTTGCTAGCGCCACCTGCGAGCGGGAGGCAACAGTCTCCGAAAGACAGTAGGATTGAGCATGTTAGTATACCATGATAAAGAGTGCTTAACAGCTCAAACGACAGGAGGGGATAGAAGAGATGAGACAGAGCGCTGAACTGCCAACAATTTATTTCTTGCGGAAGACTTCGCTTTCATAAAGTCACTAGTTGCACCAGTCATGCGCGAAACACAATGATAGATAATGCATACGTACATCACACCTACAAGCAAAAAAACAACATTTCTTTATCGGTGAGTGCGACAGAAAGGGTGCTAACACAAGGGCCTTTTAATGAACATATCTTTTCAGCCTCAATAATCTCACGTGTGTTGCAATTCCTGCATATTGCAACAATAGTAAACTCTGAAAATATTGGCCGGCTGCCACACAGGCTGCAGTGAACGGACAACCATCCTTGTTTAGAATGATTCACATTGTACATATTGTCACGTACGTCCCGCGAAAAAGACGAAGGCGACAGCACATACGCGCATCTGCACGCTCCAACGATTCACCACAGCGGTCCGCTCGAACTGGTCGAGCCAGTCCTCGACATCTTCATACGGTTCTCCACGGAAGACTTCGGGAACACGAGGAGTCTCGAAAGTTACCTGGTAAGGGTGAGTCGTCTGGGCCGGGGCCGGGGGAAGATTCGCAGACGCTGAAGGGGCCGCCATGTTGGTAACAGGAGATGCCGTCAAGAGTTCTGGGCTTAGGCCTAATAGGCGCCGGCTGAATCGGTGTACTGGAGTCGCAACAAGACGTTGAGGCTCCAAACTGGGTGTACGGTCCCGAACAACGCTTTCTTGCATCAGGTTGCAGGCCCCAGCACCTCCACCAGTGTCGCGACGTCAAGAGAGAGGTCGTACTCGAAGACGCTGAGAAAACAGCAACCGGTCGGTATTTTTGTTAACCGCGTGAGAGAGAGTTCCTCATCTTTTTCGTTGTTGCGTTCTGCATAAAAGCGTGCAGATGCGCGTATGCGTTGTCGCCTTCGTCTTTTTCGCGGGACGTACGTGACAATATGTTCCTTCAGCCTGTCATTTATACAATGACCTGTTTGGCCGACGTAATATCTTCCACACGATAACAGCAACTGATACACCCCATTACAGATACAATATCAAAATTTATTTGGGTGCTTTGTAGTGCAACGGCCTCAGAAGGATGGCTGCACCGTTTCAAGACGAGACAGTCTTGTTTACAAAAGTGTCTGCGGGGAAGCTAAGAAGGCTGACGAGACAACTGTTAGCGACTGGCTCTCAAAGCTGGAGTCACTTATCTTGGGGTATGAGCCTCGTGATGTTTTTAACACAGATGAAGCAGGCCTATTTTTTAACCTTCAACCTGAGAAGAGCCCTTGCTTAAACGGTGAAGCGTGCCAAGGAGGCAAGAAAAGAAAAGAACGAATAACGGTTTTTTTGTGTTGTAACGCCGACGAGTTGGAAAAACTTAAGCTGACCATCGTTAGAACATTTCAGAAGCCTCGGTGTTTCAAGTGCATGAGCCTTTTGCCATGCATTTATTGCGCAAATAAAAAGCATTGATGATGACGGCCCTGTTCGAAGAATTTCTGTCTCTCCTTGACAGAATGGAGTGCAAGTATCGAAAAATTGTTCCAATTCTTGACCAGTGCGCCCTCCACCCGAAGCAAGTAACACTTCAAAATGACAAGCTGGTTTTTTTTTTGCCCGCAAACACTATGACCCACTTGCAACCTCTTGACGCTGGAATTCTAAGATATGTAAAGCACCATTTCAATAGCAAAAAAAAGAAGCAGAAAGACACCAGAGATTTTTCTTCAAAAAATAATTTTTTTTTGGAGTGCCCAAAATGAGTTTGCTTCCAACTCGGTGCAAATTTAGCTAGTTTTGCATGTGTTCCGATGATATGAATTTTGGCTATTAGGAATATTTTTTGTGACCCTGCAAGATTTGTATCATCGAGATTCTACTGTATTGTATAACACTTTTGTCCGGCCTTCAGGAATACGCACAGGCTCGACATGGCTCAGAACACCGATGACCAGAACTGGGTGGGCGAACAATGCGAAAACCAGAAACATGCGAGAAGCGCACAGAAAAATAGAGAGCAAGCGCGCCTCAAAAATTTCTCATGTCTAACTTAAAATGGCCGCACAGGCATGCGCACCGCGCTGTCGTCTGCCAGCTGCCTGAAAGAAATGAAGAACATCATTCTGCAAACAACAAACCAATAGCTGTGTAGAAGACACCAGCAGATGAATTGGACGAACCTATCTAGAAATACAGACAATGGTTACTCTGCAGGTAAACTACCTGCCAATTCTATACAGCCTAGACTTTTAAGGGGCTTGTTTGAAAGGTTCCTGTAGAGTCAAATGCCAGGATGGTAAACACGATCCACAACTTTTAAAACACTTAGAAAGTGTACCAATAGATTATCGTACAATAGTCTAATCATGAATGAATGAGATTTCTTAACCCCTTAACTGCTAATATTTTTTTTAAAATTTCTGGTTAAAAAGTGCTTATATTTTTTACTGCTGATTTCTAAACTGATTTTACTAAAAGGTAGCGAGTTGATGTTGAAAAAAACATTTTCACCACATACTTAGTCAAATCAATAGAATAAAGCTTATTTCTGAACAATAACAGGGTGTCTACGAATTTTCTTTCTCAAAATTCCCCGACTTTTCCTGCTTTTCCATGATTATTTAAAGCAAATTCTATGACCTTTACGTCTGCTTCCTCAAGACCCTCGAGTGGTAAAAAAAATCACGTGCTCCCATAAAATAAGTAAATAAATGTACTAAGAGTGCTCAGAATGTTCTGAGCACGTGCAGTGAATGTGAAAAAATATGTATACAGTCAAATCTCAGTAGAACGAACCCCACATTAACAAACTTTTCAGATTAACCAACTTTTAAAAATCCCGTGCCGACTGGTAATAGTTTCAATGTAAAATTATTTCACTACTATGTGCTTCAGAATACCGAACTTTTCAGAATAACAAGTGCTAATTTAGTTCCTTGTTATATTAACAATGTCTCAGTACAACGAACTCATGTTCTGAAATCTGTAGTGACCACCGAAGGGGTACGCAAGCAGACAACACAGCGAACCGACGCTTTGGCTCTCGGAACATGTGCGATGGTGTGGAAGGAAAAAAAAAGGAGGACTTTTTTTTTTCTTTTATTAAAGCGCCTATGTTGCAGGTTTACAAGTGCCGAGGTGAGGGGCAAGAGCAACATGGGAGGACAAGGTCGGAGAGGCAGAGTGGAAGTAGGAGAGCAGGAAGCATGGGCGCGAAAAGCCTGAGACAGCGAGGGCGCAGAAAACCGATTAAACGCGAGGAATTTTCTTTTTTAGCTCTTTCTTTTCTTCATAAAAAACAACAACTATATGCTTCGAGTTTTTCTTTGTCACTTCTACATGTGCTCCAGAAGGCCTTGTCAGTTGTGCTCATCTCTTTTCTGTGATTACTTATCGCGTCCACAAAGCAAGTCAGCGTTTGCGCTGCGGTGCTATTACAATGAGTTTATCTCTGCTTGCGACGAAAAAGCAGAAACAGTTTTCGCTAAGCGAGAGAGTTGATTGCCCCACCGAATCGCACCACAGGAATGTGGATGAGCTGGAGACCTTCGCATTGCAAAGTTTGTGCTGCACGCATAAAAAAAAAAATCACAGACTTCTTCAAGTAAATGTGCATATCTTAGTGTTCACTTGTGCATTTGTTTTTTTTTTTTTTCGTGAAAAACAAGTTCAACGACCCACCGTTTTAAAGGTAAGTTGTTTTGGCCGGTGCAAAATAAGTATTTATGGTTCATTTTTGGGCTTTCACTATAATGACCTTTCAAAATAACGAACGAATCGCCCCAGCCCCCGGAAGTTCGTTATACCAAGATTTGACTGTATCTGGCCAAAACGCAACCTCCGAGTCAGAGAGTAAGCAAGGTGGCTGGAAGAACCAGAAAGCAAACACATCAGTTAAAATTAACCACAGCTAAATGTTCGAAGGAGCCAACGACTGTCCTACAATGCAGTCAAAGCTGCTAGAAAATGTAGAAGTTGCACCATCTCGTGGTACCTGTGTAAAAGTAGGATGCCAAAGCCTGACTGTTTCTGCCACTGGAACATATTTTAGTTCACTATAATGGTTACAGTCCAGGTCACTTAGAATGTTGATTGGATTACATCCACGTGTATTTACTGACTTTACTGTTTAGAATGTGGATTGGATTATATCTGATGCGACCTAGATTGCTACATTTTTACTACTTTCACTTTTCAGCAATAATACACTTTTTCAGCAATAATACACTTTTCAGCAATAAAAAAAAATCACTACTGCTCGCGTATTCCGTGCACCTTGCATTGAACAATGACTAAGAACTATGTCGCAAGAACGGAGCCATACTGCAATTTTTTTTCAATTTTTATCTTTCATTCTTGTTTTTTTTTTTTTTCACAACGAGTAAATGCATCTTGATTTTTCATTTCTCTGGGCTCTGACGCTTAGAGTTCCACAAAGTTCTCAGATGCCTGCAATGAAAGCTACGGCGTAGTAAAAGCACTGAAAACTCATAAAAAGCACACAAACCCTGTCCTTGTCTCGCTTTATGCACTCTTATGCACAGTCTACTCATCCAGGCAGCATGTTGTAGTCTGCTGGGTGCCAGGACACCGCGAAATACAAAGCAATGTTCTGGTGGACAAGCTAGCTAGATCCGCCAACAAAACCGATACCAATACATCGATACCGATTCCTGCACACGACTTGAAACCTTTTGTAAAACGAAAGCTCAGGGGTTATTGGCAGAGCAGATGGGACATACGCACAGGTAATAAATTGCATGTCACCAAGCCGCAACTTGCTCATTGGCCGCCAGTATCAAAATCATGCCACACAGAAGTAAACCTTACAAGGTTCGGAACAGGACATACACACACAACACATTCATTTATTTTGTCTCGTAGCAATCCACTTTTGTGTGGCAGATATGGAGAAGCACTCACCATACTTCACATTCTAATCCAGTGTAAAGAATTAGACACGCTGAAAAGACAACAATATTCGTTACCCTACCAATGACAGGTACCACTTCACCCTGCAATATTCAACGGTAGGGAACCACTTTTCACACATGAATCGTTGTTGGCTTTTTTGAGAGACGTCCATACTTTTCATATCATATACCCGGGCATTCTGTAGCACGACCTCTCCAGAGAGGTCTCTGCTGCAGTGGCTACACTGAACAAGGCACATGCCTCACGACCCTTGGGTGCAAAGTTGTGAACGATCGAGGCACTTGTGCTAATGCCATACATGTCCACCATAGTTTTTATTATCACAAACTTTTGTCATCCATTAACACCACACTCTTTTCACGGCACGGTCATGATTTTATTACTTCTAAGTTTTTACCAGCCTTAGTGCGAGGAATTTTAAGGCCCTTATACAGCCACTTATCACAATCATTGTCCATATCTCTAGTACCATGCACTGGCGCTCTTTGGTCACGAAACGGCCCTTGAGCCACAAAACATCAAACATCATCAATGAAAGCTAGGGGTAGTGTTTAAAGCAATGACGTTTGAACATGTGCTGACAAAAAGGAATCTGTCAGGGTGCAACACTCCCTCGATTCCATAAATTTATGATAAATGTTGGTGAGTTACCTTCATTCGTGTACTCTTTTATGGACATAACTGAAAAGTAATAACAGATTTAATAATAACATCTCAAGAAACTGAAATGAGAAATTTAGGTGAAGTTACCCAACCCTACCCTTGAAACGTGAGCTACCAGGAATAAATGCGTAGATGAGGACATTTTCTGTTGCATGGCCAATAATAATAATGATCACAGTGATATTAAAATAAACGGCATGACACGGCTCGGCTAGCCTCTGCTACTGGCAGTCCCAGCCGAACCAGAAGGCCTTCAAGCCGACCTGAATCATAGTCAAGACAAACATGCACAAATTTCAAATGTGAATAATGTTGTGGTTCGAAAGTAAGATATGCTGTGTGATATATAGAAGCAACAGATATCAAAATGTGTTTGTACAAATAAGGAAGTTAGGAAATGCTCTAGACAACGTGAAGGACAAGTTGTCAAGCGAAAATTTCCACTGTCTTTTTTTACTTTAGGCTGCCACGATTGTGACAGCCAGTACATTGCGGTGAGACAACTAATTTGAAGGAAAGAGTTAAACAAAACGCGAATATTATGTCCGGAAACTACGTGTGATCTCATATGCCCTCGCGAAAAATGTGGAATCTACAGTAGGCCACCAAACTGACTGATTAAGCGTGCACGTTCTGGCCAAAGAAAAACTTGCACCATACGTGCGCCTGGAATAACAGCACATGGAGACAACTGCACATATGCTGAACAGGAGTGATGGGACGCTTCCAACAATATACTTCCAGAGCTTACGTCACGACAAATTTAAATACGCTGAGCCTTTCTCATGGCTATTATTGTGATCAAAGCTCCCGTAGCAGGTGCCATAATGTCAGCAAACTTTGTATTCTTTTGGTGGGTGTATCCTTTCGCATCTTCACTAAGAAGCAACAGTCGCGCACTGCTTTTTTTTTTTTTTCATACACATCTTTTAGCTGTTCGCTGTAGTTGCAGCCGAAGGAGTGGCTTTTTAAGCTTTGATCAATGGTAATGCTTATTTTTGTGATAGTCGCACAGACTGCCATCAATTTCCATGACGCAGGCAAGATTTTTCAGAAATACCCCGAATTTTCCCCGACTTTTCAAGAAGGGTCCAAGTCATCTGACTTTTCCAGGTTTCTCAGGTTTTCCAGGTTGGTAGACACCCTGAATAGATAAAAAACCAGCTACCTTCTGCTGACAAAATTTAAAAACCTTATAAACAAAACAGTTACAGACACCCCATCTTTATTCACATGTGTAGGCTAAGCACCTCTGGGGTATTTCATTTGGGAAGCTTTGGGGCTGTGTGAAAAATTTCAAAAGAGGAAATAACCCAAAGCTGCTTCACTGATGAGCACTTGCAATGGTCACGCCCCAGCTGTTTTCATCACCCCCGGGGCAGCTACTCAATTCACCGTCATTGCTGTCTTCACTTTTGGACACAAAATAAATATCTGTACTGGAATCATTATGTCTCAAAAAAAGATGACGAAAATGAATAGCTTCTTTTTCATGTTCAAATCTGTGCATGGGTTGTCACTACTGCATGCCATTTTTTCTTACAAAAACCACGCTCCTACCACAGGAGAAAATAAATCCTTGACCAAATGCTGCCTATCTAGTGAATGATAGCCATTGCAAGCCGTAAATGCACACTTCTCCGCCTGAATGGTAGAGAGGAGTACCTATTCTGCTAGGATGAGCTCTGCTCGTCCAAAATAGTTGAGAAGTTATGGTTGAATAAGCCTATTCTGTCCCTGTCTCATGGTAAGTATCAAATGAATTTCAGTACATTGTCTCAAAGCATTTTCTCTTGAGGTTTTTTTTGTCATAAAGGTAAGTCTAAAATCCAGTATCAAAACCTTATCTGCTTTGTGTTTATTGCAAGCTACTGCCCATGCCACGTAATATAGGCATATGGAATTAGATCTCCCTTTCTTGTGAAGAGTACGGAACGTTTTTCTCGGCATTCCATTTAAAGCAATTTTCATCTGCCCCTCTGGCCACTGTATTTAGAAAATGCTGGATTTGGTTCTCACTCATCATGGGCGGCAGATTAATTCTGCCGTCCATGTCTTGTGTCACCTAGTCTCGTGTGAAAAATAACTTATATGAACAAGCTTTGAATTCTCATTAAATTGGAAAAGCTAGAAGGCAATGGACCTTTTGAAGAATGAAGGAACCTTCACCACAGGATTCACAGCAGACCCGGAGCTTGCCTGGAAGAACACGGTCACAAGGCCGCTTGCAGTAGACAAAAAACAGAGCCTTGTCCGCCTCTGGAATGCACAAAGAGGTTCCTGGGTAAACCTGTGCCATATGGATGTATTTTATTGGCTCAAAAGCAATACGATGTGCGTCAGAACTCGGGAATGTGCACCGTGGCTGAACAGCACCGACAATGGGATGAAGTGCGTACACGACACAGCGTTATTTGTCCTGTTGTCTGCTTTGTTCTGCCACAATAATCATGAACCAGCTAACAATCTTTAAAACCCTTAGGTCTTGCATGTGTGTAATTTAGTCACACTATGCAGAAAAGGAAAAAAGAAACGATGACCTAATAGTCTCAAAGGTAGTCTCCTTTTTCCTCGCTGCAAATTTACTATGGCATGAATATTGTTATTTGAGGACTGCCTCAATGTATGCATGACTTCAACACTGAACAACATAACATTAGCAATAAAAGTTATAATGTCAGCAAAATGTGAATAAGCCCAGAAAAGATGACACATGAGTGAAAGATTCTAAAAGTGACCTGGTATAAAAGAAACCAAAGTACACTTGCTATATGGTGAACTGGCAACTCCGAGCAACAGGAAGTCAGTTTTCTGCCAAAACAGATGAAATCATGGGTATATTAGCAAGTTCTTGAACCACTTTTCCAAGCAATCATTGATTAACATAAGTATTAGTATTCATTGCCTCATAAATTGATTGCCGGAAAATTTGTTGAAGAGCTCAATAACAAGCGGAGTACAGTAGCACTTTAAGCATTTATTTTTTCTCTTCGTTTAACTAAACTGAGAAAGGAATAGCATGAGGGAAAGAGGTAACATTCACTTGCCTAACCACCTTGACTGCACATCATTAATCGCAATCCCTCTCTCCTGTGCTAGAATGCGCAAGCGTGACTCACTGTATAAGGCGTGGACTTGCACGCAGCCGCACCCTGTGGCAAGAAGCACGCCTAATCAAAATTCTGCTCTAGATTTATGTCGGCTATCGGCTAATAACATACTGTCTGCTGTTTGATGTCAAACAGCAGGCACTCGCAGGTGCAGAGGGCACAGGCCATGAAAAGAGGGGGGCCGAGAAAATGGCAACTTTGTGCTCTACTTCTAAACTTTGTTTTGCAGCGCACCACTGCAAGATTGCACTGATATGTTTGTAGCAGTGTCTGCTATCCACAGGATGTGTTTCTTCACAAAGCCCGAAAAGTAGTTTTTGACCGCCTTTCGCCTTTAAGAGTTCAGTACTGCCTACCTGCGAAAAAACCTGGCTTTTTCATATGCACGACTCAAAAGCACTAGTTCAGTTTTGTGACTGAAAAAAATCCTAGTGGTGGTGCAGCTTTCAGAATGGGCAATAATGACCTTTACTATACTCTTTGCTTCATGACGGGTATTAGAATTGTGTTGAATACTCATTGAGCAAGTGCACAAATGTTTTCAAAGAGAAATGTGATGTTTTGACAGTGCCTACATTCTTGAAACTCTTTACATGTAATTAAAGTCGTCACTGGTTGCATAGAGAGGACATCTTTGTGCAGAAATCAGTAGTATATGAATCAAAAATATTTAGAGGTTGCCCCCTAATTTTAGTATTCTTTACCTTGGCAAGGTCCACCCTGGAAAGTCTTCAAATGGACAGAAAAAAAGCAAAACAATTTTATGCATATTAGTAAAGTACAATTTCACAATACTGAAAGCACCACTCTAACCACGAGGATACAGAATATTACATTTGAAAACGTAGCCAAAGCAGAGTCATAGTTATTAACACAGTTACCAGTTCATACTAGAGCTTAACAGGACACAAACCCGCTGTAGTCCGCTTTCATGTTTTGGAGCAGTGCACCATAATTTCATGTAATGTGGCAGTTCTGATGCAACTTGGCAAAGAAAGTCATTAACGGAGCAGTTTGGAGCAACTGGCGCAGCAGTACAACGCCAGAGCAGCACATGCGTGGCATGCCCATGCAATAATTTCCACAAATGCAATAAATTGTCCATGCTCAAGTGAAAATTGAACAAAACTTAAAAATGCTGTACACTGTAATGCTACAGCCATTAAGTTTTACGAAGCAAACAGCACATAACCCAGAAAGTAAATTTTCCTCCAAACTGGTAGGCATTCGGACAGGTTCTTTTCAGGTGAAGCAAGGCCGGGCCCGAGCTTCACAACGGAGATCGTTGCCATCTTCAATTGCCCCCAAAAAGACGCTTTCACAAAAAGGACGACAAAATAACAACAAATCTTTACACAGGACTATGTAGAGCAAAAGAAAGTGGGTCCATCAGCAGCAGGGCCGGTGTTCAGCCGGCAAGCTTCTCGTAGCCCAAGACGTCGTGGGCTATCCTGACCGCTCCTTTTATCCCTGCCCTCTTTGGCTCACTCATTGCCTAGTTTCAGTGACACCAGTCAAGACCGCACAGGCAGGTTCGTGGAAAGAGAGGATGAAAAGGGGGGTGAGTGCAGCCGCTCCTGCTCGGGAATGTTGATGTGGGGAGGAGAAAAGAGGGGGTCACACAGTGCACAACCTTACACTATAATAACCATCTATGGCATCGCACAGTGTGCATAAAAGCACCATAGTGAAATGCTGCCAGTTTTCTAGGTTATGTCCTGAGAACTGAGCACAAAAAAAAAACTACATGAGTGCGAAAAGGGAGAGTAATGATGGCGTGCATGCCTGTTTTGCGTGCCAGATGCTCCTCTTCCGTGAGCTGTGAGGTGATGATTCCTTCACCAAGGGGGCACTGCACCTCTGCGTTCATGCAAGCACCGCCATTCCCTGAGCGCACCGCATGCACCGTAGTCTGCTCCTCCACATTGTAGTCCTGCCAAAAAATTTAACAGCAAGTCAGTTAGATATCAGTTACAAGACTAAACAAACATGCTTAAGACAGTGCTTATAACAGACTTGAACTGAGCTTAACTGCATGGAAAATTATACAGAAGCCGCAGATAAAAAAAAAAGGACACTAGTACTACACACTTTATCCAATAGAACACCGAAAAAAAATGTGACATGCCTCTAAATTGCTACTAGAGCACCTGAGCTGTGCAGAAGATATAAGGGCATCTTTATAGCACCCAATAACAATAGCTTACCCTTTCTCTTTAAGCCCAATAAGTTGGGATTCTATTTAGATTATGTATTCTTTCTTTTTTTTTAAGAGAATGTGATAGAATCAGTGCTAATGCAACCTTCACCTTCCTTATTTTTGCAGAAAGCTTTGTACACTTCTCTCTCTAGCTGAGCCTTAAAACTTTCAAGAATACACCAACAAAAAGGTCAGATAGCTCGGTGAGCCTGATCTCTTTGCTTCTATTTATGTGAATTAGGTGATGTGTTGTAAAGTTTACTGCAACATAAAATAATCCCTAATTGGTCCGTATGAGTCATTTTTATAGAAGAGTGAAGTGAATATAAATGAATATATTCAAAATATCTGATGCAAATGAATTCACCCTCTTCAGCAGGGTAATACTCTGCTTGCTCAAAAAGAAAAGTTCCGTTTTCTTTGACATACAATTCAATTTTGACATGGTGGAGCAAAAGTGTGATTTGGCTTAAATGGAACATATTTATGTTAAAGTGTCTGCGCAGGCACAAGATGAGACACACTAAGTAGATTGCGCCCGCTTCTGTGTCTCATCTTTGTCCTCGTGTGCAGGCGTAAATATTTCAAAATGACATGGTAGGTTTTTCATGGTTTCAAGACATAACATGCAAGAAAGGCAATCCTGGCAAAATCTGGAAATTTGTGAGAAGGGCCAACAGAGCCAGAGTACAACGAAATCATTCTGAAATTGGGCTTTTTTGCTGTTCATATTTAACCAGAGTCCTACAATGCTGTTTCAGTTACGAACTCAATCTGCAGTTCCACACAGGGACAGAAGAAGCTACTCCAAGGGTCATGGTGATGAATGCGGGAACATCTGTGCATGTATGCTGCATGCGCTCAGCCGTGTGCTGAGCGGGCATGTGCGTGTGAAAAACTTACTCTAGCGTACTTTTTCTAAAACATGAATGCTGTGACAAGTCCACTCGTGCCGGCGCAGAAATATTAGCTGTACATGTTGTTCCATCACGGTTCTTTACAACAGGCAGGTGAACATACGGGCATTTATTCAGGCATGAGATATTTAATTAGACTGGCAACTCTGCACAGGACTTACCGACCTACAAACTGGTAAAATGAAGTCTCACAGCAAGATTTCAGTCTCCGGAGATCACACTATCTTCGCTTCAAGAGTTTAACACTGCCACATCACAAAAAAGAAAAGCTCGACATTCTAGTGTTTACAGTTTATGAAACATAATTTCATACTACTGCAGCCTTCCCCACAGACCTTTGGCAACAACTTAAACCAGGAAACTTTTGTGAGGTAACATTGATTGATTGATTGATATGTGGGGTTTAACGTCCCAAAACCACTATATGATTATGAGAGACGCCGTAGGGGAGGGCTCCGGAAATTTAGACCACCTGGGGTTCTTTAACGTGCACCCAAATCTGAGCACACGGGCCTGTGAGGTAACATCCATGTGTAGCGTGAATATACACTGATCTCTAGCGTCTAACATAACCGAGTTTGTAAACATGTTCCGTTCTATTCCTACATGTAACTCACATGTACTTAGACGACATAAGCATATCACCCCTAAAATGTGAAATTGATGTTGCTAATCATTGTGTGCATCGCCAGCTTTTATTTGCTTCACAAATTAATTCACAGTTCCCCCAGTCAAGCACCTTTCAATTCCACTGCCGCGTGTATTTCACCACACGACCCATCCTTATTCAATCGCATGCGCTCATGCGCGCACTACTATTTTTGCTGCCCCATTTTTTTCTTCGCGCCGCGGTGTACTGAAATGTCCTCGCCCGTGACAATGCAGCTATCACGTGTTCATCAACTTTAGTGGACAACATAACCGCATATTGTTCGTCATGAAGAACACTCTTTGTAAGCAGCATTTTTTAACTCTCCGCTTATGTATAATACCCCCTAACCCGGATCTTTGAGGTATTAAAAAGAAGCGAAGTTCAAAAGAAGACATATTCAGGTCATGACAATGTCTCGTGGATGTTGCTTTGGTGGGTATGATGTAGTAGCTAAGCAGAAAAATATTCCCAGTGTTAAGCGCGGAATTAAGACGGGGACGGGACAGAAACACAAACACGAACTTTCAACAAAAATTTATTGAAAGACAGATAAAAAATATATATACATAAAATTCTGCCCACTCAGGCATGCGCTTCACATAAGACTGTATGGTTTTATCTTCGGGCATGTGTATAACAGGGCAGTCACCAAAAAGAGCCAGACACCTACATGTGAGGCGATGCGTACATAACAAACCACAGTCACCTTTTTCAACATTGTTGCCCCGCCGCGGTGGTCTAGAGGCCAAGGTACTCGGCTGAGGACCCGCAGGTCATGGGATCGAATTCCGGCTGCGGCAGCTGCATTTCCGATGGAGGCGGATATATTGTAGGCCCGTGTGCTCAGATTTGGGTGCACGTTAAAGAAGCCAAAAAGGTCGAAATTTCCGGAGCCCTCCACTACGGCGTCTATCATAATCATATGGTGGTCTTGGGACGTTAAACCCTACATATCAATCATTTTTCAACATTGTTGCCATCTCTCTAAGCCTGTTGGGAGTGCCAACAGTCATGTGGGCTGCATGGTTCAATGAGAGTGTCCGCTCTTAACGTTTACTATGTTGCTCTATGGCAAACGGCGGAGAAACACAACCATGGCATCCGCCACCGCTCATGAGAACAACAAAAAAAGTGTGTGTGCTTTTTTAAAACGACCACTCAGATCTTTGTTTTATTAATAACCAAACTTGGTGAAGCTTGCAAAAACCACACGTGGTTTCAGTTTTCGACTTTCACCGGGGAATCGCTTGCTGGATTCCGTGCCGACCGGTTGTGCCCTCGCGATCTCCGACGTCAGCGTAGCTCTGGCCGACTGGGCCGGCCCTACGTCATCTCCTGATGCCGATCTCCAACGACAGCGTTGCTCTGACTTACTGGACTTACCCTACGCCATCTCCTGACGCCGACAAGAGCTCTTGCAAGTGGTGCCTAGTCATCGGTCTCCTGTGACCGTGTTTCCACCTTTCCTATCCCTCCTATCCCCTCATATGTCCTCGCTCACTGTCCCAGCGCATCTTTTTCTCTGTATATACCTTTAATCCTATCCTTTTTATCCCTCCTCACCCCCATCCTTTGTGAGCTACTGTTGAGGTGTCGCACCCTGATGCAGACAGTTACGGGGCTCACTTTTCTCTTCTTTTCCACCTTATAACCACTTCTCTCTCGACTTTCACCGGCACCGACCAGTGTTGTGGGCCTTCATCCCACCGATGGAAGGAGACATAACGAGGACAAAAAAATTCTGTTTTAAAATTTCTATGCACTTTCCAGAGAAACCGCTGCAAGGTTAGACACTTCACATGGTACGCTTCTTATTGCGACACAAAACAGGAGACCAACAAAGGGCAGTAGACAGTCCCTTTCAGTTTCGCGGTAGCTGTGCGCACTTCGTCGTTGCAGCTAGGATCCAGAGCGTCAATATCGGTGGGGTCGGGGGCCACCCCGAATACTTCCGCCCCTCCCCCTCCTAATCATCTTCTTTGCTCCGGTTCTCGCAAAACTTCTTGTTTCAGGTCAAAGTGGGAGTATTCATCTCCGATTCAGAACGGAACGTACTCGAAGTAGATCTCATCTCAAAATATTCCTGAATCAATACAAAACGCACTATTCCAATCATTCATTTATGTTCTGTACTGATATGAAATTAATGCCTCCTCCCTCAAGGCCGAGTGTAAATTATCAACATTGTTTTGTTGCCGAGGCGTCACAATGTTCTCTTTTATTTCACACATGTTTTTTTTTTTTTTTTTTTTTTTTCACATCTCACCGCACTAGGCATGCACTACAACTTTCTCACTCATGGGGGCGAGCAGAGCGATTTGCGGTCCTCACAGCAGTAAGACTGCACCAACTTCTTTCAAACATCGTCACTCTTACGCGCCATTCAAGCTACGTGCCCTGTGTTTATCAAATCTAACTTGCCAGTTATGTGACCACAATCCTTATTCACTACAGCCTGGGTTACGTTCAGACGTAACTGTAAGCACTGCAATCGTTTCGTACAGACGTAACTATAGCCAGCACTATTTTTACGTCCAGTCGTAACTATAGCCAACAGTAGCATAGAACACCTACCAGGTAGCGCTACGTTCAGACATAACTATAGCAACTGCTTGTGTTACGTCCACGGTCCCACGGTGACGTTCGCATATGCTACGGTAACGTTTGGCACTGCCGCTCGCCGAATTAAGCGGTCATAAGCTCAGATTCACCGATTTACCGGAATCACTTGTGTATTAAAAGCTGCGTCATTTATTGTGCCGGGCTCTGTTGAGACAGACCAGCTGACGAACTTTTGGAAGACATTGCCAGTGCCACTCTACCGTATCGATTACTGCCTTTTCGTTAGCTTCCTTGAAGCGGTCAACAAGCGGAGCAATCATGATGGAACCCTGCCCACACCACGGTTAGTGGTAAACAGTGGCTCTCCAACTGGATGCAAGTACGGTTTGCGTGTCCGTGCTGATGTATCAAACGTTCACTAGGGTTATACCCATACGATAACAGTAGTTACAGCTGTCCCGCGTCGCGACGTGTAAATATCTAGACGTCCGAAAACCTCATTTCCCTAGCTTTAATGACGTAGCCAGCGCCAATGCAGTATTTCTAAAGGTGTTCTGTTGAAGTATCTCTAAACGTTGGCCCGCGCAGCCTACTCGTCATGC